TTCAAAACCATCCTATACCCTGTGCATTCCAGTTACATAAGCAAATAAATCTTTATTTTTTAAAAACAGTCATTTTAAACGTCAAGAGACTGTATGTTAAAATCTAGATTTCTTGCTTTACTTAAGGAATCAGAAAATATGGCAATGATCAGCCCTTATTCACATATAGCTACCGTCAGCTGGATCTCAGTAACCACTGCCCCTTTTAGAAGGACACCAGCTGGTTTGCCTAATAGTCAACACTTACACCAGATATGGATTATCTTTTACAACACTGGCCCTCTTTACTCATTTACATTACCCTACAGCCATTTGAATTTGCAGATCCCTGATATACTCATTAAATTAATTCAATAATTACATAGCAAGCACCTATGTGTATCAGGCACAGTTGTAGACTCTGGGGAATTTTAAGTACGAAGTTCCTATCTCCAAGGACCTTACATTCTAGTCAATCTCCCCATAAAACCAAGCAAAACAGGCAGCTTTTAGAAATATTTTTACAGCTAGATGTGTTCTTCCTCACCATTTCAGTTTATCATTGGCTCCTGATGAAAAGGTTGAGCTTTTAATGACTTCACCCATTTCCTCCCGGCAAAAGCTAAAGTTATTGATGGTCCACATGTAGGAGAATTTCACTACCTTGATCTGTTGATAGAAAACCAGGAATTAAGTAAGGGGGTGACCTAAAACACAGGCTGAAGATCAGATCATTGTTTCCGCTCCCTCCCTCTACATGATCCCAGACGAAGATAGCACTATTTGGCCAGCATGGAGGCTCAGTTTTTCTCTCAGCATAGGTCCCTCATCCACATTTTAAAAATGTATGTTTTTATTAAGAGAGAGAAAGGAAGGGAGAGAAATAGAGATAGAAACATCGAAGAGAGAAAAATATCAATCAGCTGCCTCCTGTACACCCCCTATAGGAGACTGAGCCTAAAACAGGGGTGGGCAAACTTTTTGACTCGAGGGCCACAAATGGTTCTTAAACTGGACCGGAGGGCCGGAACAAAAGCATGGATGGAGTGTTTGTGTGAACTAATATAAATTCAAAGTAAACATCATTACATAAAAGGGTACGGTCTTTTTTTTTTTTTTTTAGTTTTATTCATTTCAAACGGGCCAGATCCGGCCCGCGGGCCGTAGTTTGCCCACGGCTGGCCTAAAACCTGGGCATGTGCCACATGAGCACACAGGCAGGGCCCTTATCCACATTTTAAGAAATCTCACAGTGACCAACTGCTTTCGTAACTTTTCTCAGCTTCTGAGAAACACTGAATGGAAAGTAGGAAAAACATGGACAGGGTTGGGAAAGCAGATGACAAAGCCATACCTATAATGAGCCTTTGTTCAGAGCAGTGTTTGACAATTGAGATGTTGATGCTACTACCTGGGGTTGAAAATCTCAAACCTAGTTTCCTTTTGAGTTGCCCAACACAGGAACACATTTCCATCAAGGAGGATGTAAGTGGATCTAATTTCAGAGTCCCCCCTTTTAATCTCCAGTGAAAAACTGTGGCCTAGGGTGTTCAGATTCCACTTGGAAAACCAAGGAATGGAAAGCTGTCAAATATCTTATCTATCTACTATCTGGCAGTTATGTCCCTGAGAAAGCAGAAAACCCAATGTAGAAAGAAATCGTATTCCTTTTGCCCATCAAATCCTCCCAACATGCAAAGATTTACAGGGTGAAAACATTATTACCTGTGTGTAGCACCAGCTCTCAGCTACAGGGCCACTCGACATTTCTGCCGGAGGTGGAGGACTTGGAACCCTTGACATCGCCAGTTTGAAGGTTAAACAAGATTTCCAAAGTCAGAGGACAAAGATTTCTGTTTTCTCTTCACCCTGGTTGACAGAAAAAGCAAAAGGATGTTTTAGATTAATGGCACATGATCCCACTATTTCTGTTTGACCTTCTAGTCTAGACAAAGACTAGAAACTTTGTCTCCTGCCTAGAATTCTCTACTCATATTATTCAAATAACTACTTACAAGTCCAATCCCAAACTTAAGTGTTAACCTCGGAGAAGATCGCCTATTCTAATATAGTCTCCTAATAACAATTACATCACCCTATTTTAATCCTCTGCACAATACTTAACATTATCGTACCGAATGAATTTACTCAATGGGTATATGAAGTACATCTATGGAAAGGCTGCCTGAAGAGGAGATAGCATAGTGAACACCTCACACAACTATGCTACCAGCTCCTTCACCTGAGACACAAATACTCTACTCCTGAGGGGAAATTATCTTGTTACCTCTCTAACCACTGTCTCATCTTCTCTTATACTTTAGTACAAACTAATGAAGAGTAGGTTTCTATTCCTCACCGCATTGCCAGCTGCTCTCTTGAAGGGCAACATTTACCCCTTTCTTAGATGTGTTACTTTCTTTCCAGCAGAGATCCCTCCCCACTTATACCCCATCACTATTCAATTTTCTAGATTCTTCTCCTTGCTCTTGCCCTCTCTGTTCTATGATCATTCTTCAATCTCTTTTGTTGGATGCTCTTCCTTCACTATTGCTCCCCATGGTTTAATCCTCAGTCATTTTCTCAATCAACGTTCTCTTTCATGGCAATTTTATCCATCCCAACAGTGTCAAATTTCTGCCTTGATAAAAATATTTCCTAAATCTCTCTAACTTTGACTTCTCTCATAAGGCTCAGACCATTTCAAATAACTGCTATATATCTTAGCAGGGTGTCCCAGTAGTAAATCAAATTCAATTCAAAATTCTCCCCTCCAATACCACTCAAAAAATTGGTGAATTAGGTTACAATTTTCTTAAGTATTATAAACAAAGCCAAACTGAAAAAATAAAGCTCCTTGCAATGCATGACAAAGAAAATTTTCATTAATATATGAATTGGTATATAAATTGTTTCTATAAAATCATTAAGAAAAAGGCCAGCTACCTACAAAAATATCATTCATAAAAGAAAGGAAGGAATCCTTAGTGTCTCTACTTTTTGTTTCTAAGATTTTCTTGAATGAAGGGAGAAAGGAAGGAAGGAAGGAAGGAAGGAAGGAAGGAAGGAAGGAAGGAAGGAAGTTGCTCTAAAACATTTTACCTCTATAAGACCTGCAGGAGGAAAGAAAAATCAACCAAACCATGAAGGGGGATATGGGAACTCTCATACACTGTTGGTGGGAAAGTATATTTGGATGGGAATCTGGCCATATCTTGTGAAGATGAGTATACGTGTACACGAAGGCTCAGCAATTCTACTTTTAACTATAATACTGTACCGGAATAGTGGTTCTCAAATTTTAGTGCGTGTCAGAATCACCTACAAAACTGGTTACTGAGCCTCACCCTCAGAGTTTCTGATTCAGAGGTTTGGAATGAGCCTCTAAATTTGCATTTCTAACAAAGTTCCCACATGATCCTTATATGCTGGTCCTGGAACCACATTTTGAGAACCACTGCCCTAGAGAAACTGCACATGGGCACAAGAAGACATAGACAAGTGTGTTCAATGTAGCATTGTTTATAACAATGAAAAAACTAGAAGCAAACTGAAAATCCATTCAAAGGAGAAGAGAAATAAATTGGGTTATCCATCCTATATAATAAAGAGGTAATATGCAAATTGACCCTCACACTATAACACATTACAAGATGGTGGTGCGCACAGTGGGGGTGGTGGCTGCTCTGCATGGCTTCCACCCGGGTTCCTGCGGACCTGCAGGGGCACGGGGGTCCTGGTGTCCACTTCGCGCGTCTTCTGGTGGGGTTTCCGTGGCGCCACAAGTGTGCTGTGGGGGCGGGGCCTGGCGACCATTCCACGCAGCCCGGAGGCGGGGCATTGGGGCAGCACTCCAGGACTTGGGGCCAACCTACAGTGAACTGGCCACACGGGGCGGGACTCCGGGACTCGGGGAGGTCCCATGATCTTTTGAAACTATAGGTTATTCTATATGCTATATTTTATACAGATTCAAATGCTCATTCTATAATAGCTTTATTATTTACTTAACACTGTTATTCCCTTTACTGTAATTCCTTCAACTGATTATTCTTTTCTATTAAGTGTTTTTGGAAACTGCCTCAAAGCATTTAGAGAAATAGGTATAAATGAATTACAGAAAAAAGAAATCACTCAACTCATACACAGTCACTGACACTTATGTAATAACTAGAGGCCCAATGCACAAAAATTCGTGCAAAAGTAGGCCTTCCTTCTCCCAGCTGTCGGCATCAGCTTCCCTCTGGCACCCGGGACCCAGGCTGCTTCCCTCCTCTGGCCACCTGCAGGCACCCGGGACCCGGGCTGGCATCCCTCCAGCCCCGGCTTTGTCAGGAAGGACATCCAGAATGACGCCCGGAAGACATCTGGTCTAATTAGCATATTGCCCTTTTATTACTATAGATCATGGAGGGGGAGTTATTATCCTCACAGAGTAATACCATTGGTCTGACCAGAGTCCCCACTGGTTTTAAACACTATTCTATAGGCATTTACAACTAAAGCATCCCATATAATCAGAGATGGAGTTAACAATCTTAAACATGATGTACTATTTCACTTAAGCTAGCAAACTAAGCATTGCATTGGCATTTGAGCCTCCTTGGTTGGTGCAATTCCTGATTCCATGAAAACATCAAGAAAAAAGACCAAATGCTATACTGGATCACCTATGATCACAGTAGGCTTGCACTTGAGGGAAAACACATTGTCACAGAACTGTTTGTCTAGCAATGAGTAAATCACCATAAAGCAGTTTTACAAATCCCAGTTACCATTACTGCCAGTAATGGTAGACCATTCTGCTAGAGGCCAGAATGAAATTTCAAAATCTTAAAAGATGTAAAATTTACATGTTAGTTAAGAGCACAAAATGTGGCTCTAGAGGTGTGGGGTGCAGGCTCAGCTCTATCCTGAACAATTATAACATACTAATTTGAGTTTATCTTGAAGTTTTAAAAATAGTTCCAATTTATCTAATAATTAACAACTTAAGAATTCTCTAGGTCTAAGAAAAGTACAAATTTTAAAACCTGTTTATTTTAATGGCTTAATTGTTGCTATTGAACCATGGTCCATTATTACAACCAGAAAAAAAGTACTTTAGTCTTGGCCATTTTTTTTCTTTTTTGCTTCTAACTCATTTTGTAGCCAAGTCTTTTATTGTTGTTGGGTGTTTTTTAATAATATCACCTTTCTTCCAATTTTTAAAAAATGTCCAACCTGGTAGCTAGAAGAACTGCAGAATCAGCCTTAGACTCTGAGGAGCTCTAACCACACAACCTGCTGAGAGGGAAATTGACTAGGATAGCACAAGTCTAATTAATTTCACTCATAGCAGGCACCATGGGCGAAGTGTTGATCAGCAAAGCAGCCTGGTGTTACATGAACTCTCTAGCACTTTACGCCAACTACTGCAGATACCCAGCAGAAAAACAATTTTAGAAAAGAGGAGGTCTATTTGAGGGTCATGGTTTGAGAACCTTTGTAGGAGACAACTAGCATCAGAATATATTGTTCCCGACTTCAAACAAGTTAGGACAAACTGTCAAGTTCTCAAATGAGAAATTTGTTCTCCAAAGCTTAGCAAAACTTCCCAGTGTATTGACAACTCTGAGGCTGAACATATCTGTTATATACCACCACTTACTTTTCTGTTCACTCTATTAAATCCTGACCTGTGAGGTTACACCTCTTCTGAGTAGACCAAGAAATATACTTAAAATACCTGTTAACTGTAATACTGCTCAAATTCCAATGAAGGTAATAATCAGATAGCAACTAATAACAATCCCTAACAGAATGTTTCCTAGCAGGTATTATGATGCAGATACTTTCATTGAACCTACACAGTGCACTTCTTTTCTGCCTTCTTTTACACTTATAAACACTTCTGTTGCCTCTAGTAAACTTTAAGTTTCTTAAAAGGAATTTGCTACTATTCCTTATGCCCGCTTCACCACCTAACAGCCTGCCTAGAACAAGGCATTCACAAAAATACTTTGATGGCTGAAACATTTATCCAATTGCATTCAAGTCCATTAACTTTTCTGTTTGTTTCTTTCACATATCTCTAAAAGAGCGCTTTGAACAGTGCTAAGTATATTAGATTTGCAATGTAATGAAAATCATTAATTTGTTCTTTTGAATGAGTTATAAACAAAGCCAAAAACTCCTAGCCTGGCACTCTCAAGTTTCAGCCCTGGTAAAGTGAATTTTTCATCCAGTATTAAGTATATCTTCATTCTACATGGAGAAAAGGATTGGCTATCATTTCGTTCATTCTGAAGACAAAAATCAGTAATCTGAATTAAACTCTTACATAACCAGGATTCTTTCAGGATACAACAGGGGAAAGTGTTGCAACAGTTTAACCTGCAGTATACACAGAGCTAGGCTAGCACACTCTCTGATAAGTGTTAGACAATTTATACAGTTATTTTTATCTTTCTTTTATTCTCTACAAGCATTCGTCCATCTTCAATCTAATCTAATCATTCAGATAATTTTTTTTAACAAACAACTAAAACAGGCATAATCCACACATGATATCTATGCATTAGCCTTCGACCCATCGGCCTTTAAATTACAGAAATAGATTGTGGATATATCAGATTGATCCATGTAATTGTTTAGTAGGCTGAAAATAGCCAAATATGGGCAATTTCATGTGGTTCAACATAATACACAAACATGCACAAGTTCGATGGCTGGGAACATAGCTTCTTGTCAAAGAATGGTTTGTTAGGGACTTTTTAAAAGCCTGTCACTTTTTTCTTCTTTTGGTTTAAAGACTTGTACAGTTTCCAAGTAAGGGAAACCCCCAATGTCATAACTATTTTAAACCTGAGAGACGTTTGCATTTTCAAAACAGAAGAAGCCAAAAAGATTGTTGACAATTAAGGGAAGGAGAGAGGAAGAAAGGGAGGGGGAGGGAGAGAAGAAACTAAACTATAGAAAGATTTGAGTATACTCATTTTTGCAAAACTGATGTGACTTCAAAGGAGGGTTTGTGTTTCTTCTGTTATAGTGTCTTCAATCATATATAGCCCAGGAAGTAATAACTTCTTTCTCATAACCCCAAGGACAGATTATTATAGGTCATACTGACTTTCTCTGTTGCAACATTTGAATGACTTTTGAATATTTATTATAGGTAAACTTTTTTTTAGTTCAATCTAGTATAACCAAATACTAAATGCACTTTTGTAAAATTCAGGGATACTTCTTAAACTAAAACTAAGAGTCATCAAAGAGAGACCTCAATCAGCAAAGGAAAGATTTGGTTTCTCTTATGTCCCTTATCATGTCCTTTATAAAATCTATAAGTTAGCCCTGGCTGGTGTTCTCAGTGGTTAGAACATTGGCCCGTGCATGGAAGGGTCATGGGTTCAATTCCCAGTCAAGGGCATGTACCTGGATTGCAGGTTCAATCCCTGCCTTGGTCCGGGCACATTCAGGAGGCAACCAATCAATGTGTCTCTCTCACGCTGATGTTTCTTTCTCTCTCCTTCTCACCTTCCTCCGTCCCTCTTCCATTCTATCTAAAAATCAATGGAAAAAACATCCTAAAGTGAGGATTAACAACACAATTTATAAGTTAAAGATAGCTGCTTTTTAAAAAAATTGAGATATAAGCTGATATATAATACTGTTTGTTTTTGAAATCTTTAAGAGGTATTTAGTATTAAGTGAATCTAAAGATCAATGCGAAAAAAGTCAACAACCTAAAAGAAAAATGGGCAAAGAACAGCCAATAGTTTACAGGAATGTTAATACCAATGGTTCTTAAATATGTGAAAATATGTTCAACTTTCACTCATAAGACAAATGCAAATTAAACTGCACATTGATTCACCCAGTGAGTTGGCAAAGATCAAAATGTCTGATAATAGTTGTCCAGGATAAGAACATTTCTGATTAGAGCATAAATTGTTACACTCTCCATCAAGAGAAATGTGTATCAGAATGAATAAAAAATGCATATATTCTTTGATTCAGCAATTCCACTTCTAGAAATTTAACCTACCATATGATATGATAAATATAAAATTTTTCTCACTATAACACTATTTGTAATCACAAAATAATAGAAATAACCTAAAAATCTATGAACAGGGGATTAAATTATGATACAGACAATGTAATAAGCATCTGTTTTAAATAAAAAGGAATGAGAGCCCGAGCTGGTTTGGCTCAGTGGATAGAGCATTGGCCCTGAGACTGAAGGGTTCGGGTTTGATTCCACTCAAGAGCATGTACCTTGGTTTCAAGCTTGATCCCCGGGCCTGGTTGGGGTGTGTGTAGGAGGCAATTCATTGATGTTTCTCTCTCTGTCTCTCCCCTTCCCTTCCACTCTCTCTAAAAATCAATGGAAAAATATCCTCAGGTAAGGATTAACAAAAAAATAAAAAAATTTTAAAAAGGAAGGAGAAAGCTCTTTCTATTTAAAGGGGCAAAGCTACTTGTTTTAACATATTTTTTAAAGATATATATATATGTAAAGCTAGAGACAATGGTTACTTTCAAGGAAAGAAACTGGGTTCTTGGTTGGGAAGAATTTCCATTGTATTCCCTTTTGTACTTTCTGAATTTTTAACTATGTGACTATATTACCTTTTCAAATAATAAGTAAAAAATTTTAAAGGAATAAGCAGCATTTACAAATCATTTTTTTAAGTTATGAGACGGCTTCTAAATCTGACACTTATGAGAGATAAGACAGGAATTCTTCAGTGGCTTCCCCTGCTATCCTGTACCTTCTGTCATCACAGCCAAGGCCTCATTGCACCTTCCTGACCTCATCTAACACTTAGGCTTCTCAAGCACCATGCCAGCCACTCTGGCCATTAATTCTATTTGGTGAACACACCAGACTCTTTCCTCTACCTGAAAAGCTCTTTCTTCCCTTGGCTCTTTTCATAGCTGCCTCCCTCTTATCTTTTAGATATTCTATCAAATGTAATATCCTGAGAGGTCTCTGACCATCTGATCTAAAGCCCACTTCTAGTCCATCCCTTTCTTCATATTACCCTATTTTATTTTCTTCTTTATTACCACCACCTGAAATTATTGTTTTAATTTTTTTTACTTGTCTATTGTCTTCCCCACTAGAAGCTAAGCTCAATGAGAGAAGAGCATCCCTCATGTGCCTAATGGTATAGTAGGCACTCAATAAATATTTGCTCCTGGCAAGTGTGGCTCAATGGTTGAGCATCAACCCATGCACTGAGAGGTCCTCGGCTTGATTCCCATTCAGGGCACATGCCCGGGTTGCAGGCTCCATCCCGGGTGGGGGTTATGCAGAAGGCAGCCAATCATCGCTTTCATCAATGTTCCATTCACTCTCTCTGTTTCCCTTCCTCTCTCTCTAAAATCAATAGAGACATATTAAAAAGTAAATATTTGTTAATAAAATTGTTGCTGAATAACTAGACTCTGTCTTGAAATCCTAGCTTTTCCTTAACAAGCTCTAGTTAAAATGTTAAAGTTTGGGAGTTGCATAGGAACCCAGGCATACTTTTAAAACAATAGAACATTAAACAAAGAAAATTATCAGTTGATCTCACACCAATTTTAAAGAAGTAATACATTCCAAAAACTACACTATTCTTTGATTTAAAAAAATCTAAGGTTTTTATTTATTATGTAAATATATAAAAAATATATGTACACACACACACACACACACAAATACATACCTTAAAACATATCTAGGTATGTAACTAAGTTTTTCCTATACCAGACTAAGATGTAGAACATACTTTCTGCCACCGCCAAATATTTATCTAATTAAGAGTTGAATTGCTCTTGCAACTGTTGTATATAAGAAAAACTCAGAAACAAGCATAGTATTATGTATGCATGTCAATACCTTTAAGATCTTCCCAGTTTACAGATATCTTTTAGACAAGCATAGAATCTAAAATGATTGTGAGGATTAGATACGCTTTTGTACCTGAAATGGTTATTTTTCCTTCTTCTCCTCAATCTAAGTGTTACAAGATAGAGTTTTATGGACGAGCCTGGCGAG